AAAATTCACACAACTACAATGTCACCAAAACAGTGAGTGGTTGTAATTTAAATCCTTTTGTTGCACTTTAACTATAGTTCAAATGCTTTGACCACTCTTTCAAATTAAGGACTATTTTTCTAGGGGTCTACTAATTTCATTATGTATTGTGAACATGGTATCATTCAAAATAGTGTTAGAAACTATAGTGATGTTAAGCCTTTCCTGGTTGTGAATTATAGTTGTGTGAATTTTCTGATAGTTTGTTGTTCTATGTGCTTTGTAGAAATGACCTTTTCACGAAGCTGGTGCAGAAATATTGTAATAGCTTGATTAATTCGTGATAAGTTGACAAAGTTTGTGGTATCGATCAGTGAAGGAGCTATAGCACTAGGTAATCTGATTTTGTGGTTTTGTGGGGAACAAAGTTTTGTTTAGAGGAGATTAATAATTTGGTTTGTAATGTTTCTCTGGGTGTTCTTGATGCTGAAAAGCCACAGCAGAGTAAGCCGAGTCGTAGCATCTTGTTAGAACTCAGGCATGTGGCGTTTTTCAGGAGTCTTTAATCAATTCCCAATTTTTACAAATTGAAAACAAAGTGATGATTTTGTAATTTAAAAGTGAAATAGAAAATAAAAATAAAAAATGTGATAATTTCTGTTTCTTGTTTTTGTTACATATGTAGAGTGCTTCTGCATTGCTTTTGGGTTGAAAATCCAGTGGAACAAAGCAAGAGTTGGCCAAGCAAAACTTAAGCATTATAATAAGAAAGTAATTGGATCAAATATTTGTTCGATGTATGCCTTTTGTAGTCTTGTGCAAGACAAGGACTGGAAAGAAATATAGAAAACGTATTACAATATACAAATAACCCTCGATTGAAGCTAATGCCATAGTTTTTGTGGCTTGTTCACGGTAGATATGCGGATGATTCTCTCCTTTTCTGTTCTCTCTCTAATGATTTATTTTCACTCAAAATAATGTTTCTTTTATCCTGACCTGACCCTCTACTTAGATAAGTAAAGATTAGATGAGTTTACATGTCCAAGTGAAAAGGGGTTAGATTAGAGTACGATACTTAAGATTTTGAGTGAGAACATCCATTAGAAAAAGAAGTAGAGTAGAAGAGCCATACTGCTTATTCATGGCACTTTTTGAGTTACATTCTGCTTATCCATTTAATTATTTATTCTCATTTTGGTGCCTGAATATTATATATATTTATCATTTTAGTTAATTATTTTTTGAGTAATGTGATGGTGAACTTGTATTTGTAGATATGTATTTTACAATTTTTTAATTTTAAGACTAATATGATAACATTTTTCAATTTTAGGATCAATTTGAGTGTTTACTCAAATTTCAATGTGGTCAAAATATTTCTATTACATGTTACGTTCTATATCACCTTATCGTTTAAATGATATCTTGTGGAAATATTTCTAATGACTTATGTCTGGAAATATATATATATAACATGTTACTTAAGGTTGTGTTTCTCTTTCTTGAATACCAACTTTACCATTCACATCAGACACCGGGGCCCACCTTGGTAGCTGACCATCCAACGACATGAGCCAAATAGGCAAGCTCACAACCTTATTGGACCATAACCGACTCCGCTCTAGGAAAAAAACCTTAATTTATACGAGACTCACACATTTACCAAGAATTATCTTAAGTATTGGAATTTTTTTTGCAGGTACCATTTTCATCTCGGAGTGATCAACTTGAGAAGCAAAAGAGGCTCACCCATCTCATCAGAGAGATTCTCATCAAACCAATCTCAGGTGAGAACACCAGCAAATTTTTTTTAGATATTTGTCCGCAATCAAATGTGGGTCAATTTATTAGTGAAAAAGCAAAAGTATTTATCTATACGCAGTAAATAAATTGGATTTATAATAAATGTTGATTACAATTGCTATAAAATTTGTATTTTTATTTTTGTTACCTTTTCTTAACAATGAAAAATAATTTGGAAAGGGTGAATCAACCACACTAGAAATACTACTATGAGAAAAATATTGAAAATTAATATATCAAAATTCAATTTGAATTAGATGCCAATTAAACATATATTCATGTTTTGTTGAAAATTATAACCATTCAATTTGAGTTTATTGTATGAAAAAAATGCTATGTAATAAAGCTATCAAAATGAACAAATTTCTAATTTATACAAATAAATAGTTATTTTAGTAAGGAATTTTAGAAGGTAGTGTATAATAGTTCCTAAAAATAAAAAAGAAAATGTCAAATAAGTTTAAAAGTATAAAATTAAAAAAATATAAGTAAAATGATAATATTGGTATATTTAAAGGCTAAAATGATAATTAGTACTTTTATTTTTAAACTTATTTAATATTTTATAGTTTCAAAAACTATTATGAGTGTTCTCGCCTCTTTCTCGAAGAAAAATTACTATTTACTTTATTTTATATTGTACTTCCCCAAAATAAATTGCAAATATCACAAGATATTCAAATTCACGTTTTATTGACAACCATATGATATGAGAACTAAGAGATATAATATAAGAGAAATATTTCGCTTTTGTTTATTGATGTTTAGGTAATTTGCTCATGTATAATGTTTATATATTTATGTCGATTTATCACAAGATAAACTAGTTGTACAATTAATATTGAGAAAAAATAATTATCTATAGAGAATAATTAGTAATATACAATACTGATGATTTTGCTATGTTTGCTAAATTCTGTTTCTTCCCTTTCATTGCAAAGGTTTCATAACAATATTATGTAAAGATAGATTTATTTATTTTTATAATTAGTGAGAATTTAAATTAGTATCAATATTCAGAGATTTAAAATAAAAACTGATTCTTAAAATTTACATATAGCTTGATTGTTATTCTACATTTAGAAGTTGTTCCGTAGATAACTTGACTAAAGATTTAAAAATCTAGCATATTTTAAGTATCACGAGACTTAACAAATCCATTTTTAGCTTAATAAATTGTTATGAAATAATAAATCAAAATAAAAATAAGGATAAAAGAAAGAAATAGAACACCAAAGATTTTACGTGGAAAACCTTCTCTATATGAGTAAGGAAAAAACCACGGGACCTAGTCCAGTAAAAGATATTCACTATAAAAATATAATTACAATATTTTGTTCCCCTTTTCTCAAGTAAAATTCTAAAGAATTTCAACGCTCCCAAATTTGGATGAAGAACAAATTATAATACATTATATAAAAATATAATCTACCAAAAGTCGTTAGCTTGAGTGATTCTACACTTGTAATAATCATCGATGTTCGAATCCCACCTTTGATATGGAGTTGCGATTACAAACACACTTACCTTTATAAGGGTTGATCTAGTGAAAATGAATTGTAATTCCTTATAAGAAAAAAAAATACACTCTACCTATAATTAAATATCATTTCTAAAACTAATTATAAAAGACACAATCTTGTAAATATAAATATAAATATAAATTAATAAGGCTTAAATATATTTTTAATTTTTATAAAATTGATGATTTTGATTTTGATCTTTTTAAAAAAATTTCTTTATTTTTTTGTCCTTCTAAAACTTATAAATATTATTTTTGTTTCTTGTAAAATGATTAAATTTTGATTTTGATCCCTATAAAATATATATATTTTTTTATTTTCATCTCTCTAAAATGCAAATCAACTAGTCCCTAATAATCATTTTAAAGTAAATAAATAACATTTATTTTAAGGACTTATAAATTTTTTTAGAAGTGTTAAATATCGATATGATATCAATAATGATTACTTAACTTTTTAATAAATAAAAAATAGTTAAAAAATGTTCACATAAAAATAGGGACTAAAAATAATAATTTTAATTTTATAAGGATAAAAAATAAAGAAATTTTTTTATGGGAATTAAAATCAAAACTCCTTAATTTTACAAGGACTAAAAGTATATTTAAGCTAATTAATAAATATAAACTAATCAACTAATACATTATAAATATATATTTTACACAGTTAAATTTTAAATTATAAAAACTTTACAATAAATAAAGAAACAGAAACAAAAATTTAATTAAATTATAAATTATTCTCAAGAACATAATTCTAAATAAATGACCAATTCAGCAAGAAACATAAATTTTATAAAATAAATTATAAATTATTCTCAAGAAGAGAATTCTAAATAAATTACAAATTCTGCAAGACACAGAAATTTAATTGAGTAAATTATAAATTATTTTCACAGAAGAGAATTCTAAATATATTATAAAAATCCTGCAAGAAGTAGAAATTTAATTAAATAAATTATATATCATTCTTAGGAGGAGAATTCTAAATAAATTATAAATTATGCAAGAAGAAGAAATTTAAGTAAATAAATTATAAATTATTCTTAAGAATAGTATTCTAAATAAATTATAAATCTTAAAAAAGTATAAATTTCGTTAAATAAATTAAAATTGTTCTCTAAAAGAGAATTCTAAATAAATTATATAAATTCTGCGAGAAACAGAAATTTAATGAAATAAATTATAAATTATTCTCAATAAGAGATTTGTAAATAAAGTAATTATAAATTATGCAAGAAGTAGATATTTAATTAAATAATATATATAAATTAATTAAATAGATTATAAATTATTCTCTAAAAGAGAATTCTAAATAAATAATATAAAATTTGCAAGGAAAATAAATTTAATTAAATAAATTATAAATTCTGCAAGAAACAGATATTTAATTAAATAAATTATAAATTCTGCAAGAAACAGAAATTTAATTAAATAAGTTATAAATTATGCTTAAGAAGAGAATTCTAAATAAATTATATAAATTCTGCAAGAAACAGAAATTTAATTAAATAAATTATAAATTATGGTTAAGAAGAGAATTCTTAATAAATTATATAAATTCTGCAAGAAACAGAAATTTAAATAAATTATTTAAAAATTATTCTCAGAAAGAGAATTCTAAATAAATTATAAATCATGACTTGTGAGTTTGATTCAGAAATCGTCATGTAGAATTGTAGAACCAAAATCCAAACCTCAAAAAGATAATTAGAAAAGTTAAAGTCAAATTATCATTGAAAAATATTTAAAGAAAAAACAAAATTGAGATTTCGAAAAGATCATACGTACCTCTCATCATGTGCTTTTACCTTTGAATATTTAAAAGAACTCTCTAAATTAAGAGAAGTGGAGAACAAAATGAAAGGTATATTTTACCAAGAACTGAAAAAAAAAGGAGAGAAAGGAAACAAAATATAAAATCAAGAACCACAAAAGAAGAGAAAAAATCAGAGAAATTTATCAGAAATTCAAGAACCATATTGATGCAGTTTTTTCACAACAAAATGGAAGCAAAAGAAAAGAAAAAAAAAAAGAATTAATTTAAAAAAAAAAAAGAGAAAAAAGAACCTGAGAGAATGGAAGTGGGTGTATGAAATTAGAGAGATACATATTTATAAGGAAGAACAGTTAGGTAGAGATCACAAACGGTTCAAAATTTCGTAATTCGAATTACTAATTACTAGATAAAGTTAAAAACTATCTTGTATGCAATTTTTAAAATAATTTAAATTATATAATACTTTATGATTGAAGGACATTGGCCGGTCATCAGTTTTAAACCTAACAACGGAATTTTAAAAATATTTAATAAAAAATATTAATAAATAATTATAAATTAGAATAACTTATTTTTAATACTTATTTTATAATTATAATATAATACTTAATGTTAATTTGAAGTCTTTAATATCTTTATTCTATATATAATTTAAATTATATTAATTTGATATTAAAGACTTCAAATTAACATTAAGAGATCAATTAAATATTAAAAATTTATAAATAATATTTTATTATAATTTTTAGTGTTATAAAATCATGATATTATATTTATTTAATATTATTTTTTTATTGATAATAATAATAATAATAATAATAATAATAATTATTATTATTATTATTATATTAGTACCAATTTGATCATGGTCCAACCGCAGTTGAGTTAGGGATCTCAATATAGTGGGATGGGTATGTCTAGTAGTCTTCTGCTATCCTTCTCGTCAGATATATCTCTCGTATCTGTTTTAATATCTATGCCTGTATTTGTTAAGTATCCACATATTTTTGTACTCGTTTTAATATCTGTGTAGGTATCTGCTAAACAAGTATTCACATATTTTTTCAATATCTATAAATATCTAGGATTACTAAGAAAATATATCATAAGAATATTTAACAAAATATTTTAACCATACATTATAGTTATTTGTAATAGTTATAATATTCATTTTCTATCTGTTGAAGATTTTGTTCGCAGATATTTACAAGTATGAGTTTTTTTTTGACATCTTTAAATTAAACTATTGAACCTTTAATCAATGTTTAGACTAGTTGAATGTCGGTCTAATTTTTTTAAACATTGATTTTATATTGTTGGTGCTTTATAGATTTTGATTTTATTTTCACTTCTTATTATTTTGTTATTGAGTTGTTATTACGCAAATTTTCTTTGTCACTCCAAGCCCCCTTAACATTATATACGATTAAAGGAGAGAATATATTCTATTTTTAAGAAATTAAAACATATAATAAGAGAGAGAAGTTCTTAAAAGCTAAACATAACTATCAACATTATCATCAATCATCACTATCACCACTACTGTCATTTTTATTATTGTCATTGTCACCACTGTTGTCATTAGCACTATCATTATATTGTCATGTAGTAATGACGACAAAAACAATGGTAACAGTAGTAGGAACTTAGTTGTCACCACTACAATCATTATCACTATATTTGTTGTTGTTGTTACTATCATTGTTGTTATAATTAATTATAGATAAAAAATAATTAATGATTAAAATTAAAACTCAATCATAAAAATTTTGTAGACTTGATTTATAACATGTTTTCAGTTGAATTGATGAAATGGAGTATCAAATAGTTTTCAAATTTTTAAAAAATTTGTAGATTTGATTTATACATTAAGAATTTTTAATTTAATAGTTAAATTATTAAAATTTGATGTAGAACTTGAATTATTGAGTAGAAGGTAGACTTATTCTTAGAATAATTGGATCACTCCTCATATATATATATATATATATATATACACACACAAATATACAAACACAAATAAAACTAATTTTAGCAAAATACAACATAATTTTAGAATAGTGATTAATTTTGTAAATCAACCAATAGATAAATTATTAAAGTGTAACATATTTTGTCTAGGAAAGTGTTCATATTAATACAAGAAGGGAGGATGGTGTGAAAGAATATTACTATAAGGAATATTTTGATAATAACTTTTTTTTTTTTAAATAAAAGAAGTTAACAAAACTTTAGTGAAAAATAAGAATAACTTGGGTAATTAATAACTTTTTCCAATTTAAAAAATGAGAAAAATATCGTATATTATAATCTGTCAAGAAAAAGACTGTAATTTTTAATATAAAAATGTAATATTAATATCTTTTAGAATAAAAAAAATGTAATTTACACTTAAAAAAAAATATAAACTAATAACAGACAGAGATTCCAAGAAGTTTGTGCCTCCACCAATTCTTTAAAGTTTAAATATTATTACATTGTAAACTTTTCAAAGAAGAGTATAATACAAACCATCCACCAATTCTTTAAATATTATTACATCGTAAACTTTTCAAAGAAGAGTATAACACAAACCATACAATAAGAGCCGATTATTCTTTATATTTCCACTTTACGTAGAATGACATGAGCACCATATTGAGGCTCAAGAGTAATCACAGAATTTGGAGCATGAGTATAGGTAGGAGAAAGTTCAAACGAGAAACGTTGTAAAATCATTGACAAAGCAATCTTTGCTTCCAACAAGGCAAAATTTTGTCCAATGCATATTCTAGGACCTCCTCCAAAGGGAAAAAATGAAGCTCTTCCATTTGTGGCCTTAAGAATCCCTTCAGAAAATCTCTCAGGTTTGAACTCCTTAACATCATCACCCCACAGTTCACAATCATGGTGGAGCAAAATTGTTGGTAAGGAAATCTGCACTCCAGCAGGTAAAAATATGTTTCCGAGTTTCACATCTTTGTGAGTTATTCTAGTAAGATCAACTACCGGTGAATATAACCTAAGAACCTCGTACAAAATCATGGTAACCTGTTGCAAAAATTTTCATGCAAATAGTAAATACAAAGGGCATGCATACTATTCAATATCAAAATGATAATACAAACTTACAATCTTAAGGTTACTTAGGCCATCGAAATCTGGTTTTGTGTTGCCAAAAACTTGCAAGACTTCTTCCCTTGCACGTGTTTGCCAATCAGGGTACCTACTCAATAGTATCATTGTCCAAACAATCAAAACTGAAGTGGTTTCTTGTCCTGCAAGGTAGAATAGCTTGCATTCCTCGATAACTTCCTCAAGTTTCAGTCCAACATTCTTATTGTTTCCATTTTCTTGAATTTCCCTGTGATTTGACTCCAAAAGTATATCTAACAAGTTATTTTTAGTAGCTTCACCCGCATTCAGTGCCTTTTCTCTCTTGTTAATCATATCCCAAAGTGAAGCTCTTATATCCCTGTTAATTTCATTCATTCTTCTATTGATAGCAGTGGGCACAAACCTACAAGTGAACATAATCAGTACTATTATTATCATGGTATGAAGGGAATGCTTTTTTTTTTTTTTTTTCCGTATCAACTAGCCTTTTGACTTTCATAATATTTGATAAAATGATCGTTACAATAAACAATTTTTTTAGTATTATTTTCTACTCACAATCTCCTTTATGAAATTGTGGTAAGGTTAGTTGAGTTTGATAAACCTTGATTTCTTAAGTCTATGAAGTAGTAAGATATGAATATCCATACCTCCATCCTGGGATGTAAACTTTCAGTAGAACTTTTATTGTAAGTTCACCTTGCTCTTTTAGAAGTTGAAATATTCTTCTTCCTTCTCCATAACTACTTCCAAATGCTGTTCGAGAAATAGCATCACTAGCCAAGTCATGAATAAAAGGCCACACGTCTATTTCACATGATCCATCTGAAGACATCATAGTCTCCCATTTACTAATCACATCATCGCAACATTTGGTGAATAATGGTAACATATTCTGTGATGAAAAGAAGAAATATCAAGGTGTTAAAATTTCCCATGTCTTAAGCATCTAACTTTATTAGACTTCAAATCATGCTACTTATAAATCAAGTGATGTTGCTTGCAAAAGTATTTGTTGCAGGCTAAACTAACTCAAGCTTTGTCATACCAAATATTTTTCTTTCTTGCAAGAGAATGTATTTTTTGAGACAATTTTACATGCAAAAGAAAAGAAAATCCACAAATACACACACATATACATATATACATACATACATACCTCTCTCTCTCTCTCTCTCTATATATATATATATATATATATATATATATATTCCAATATTTTTCTGACATGTTTTCTAAAGGCACACAAGTCAATATATGAAATACATATATAGTAATAAAAAACTAACCTTCAGCTTTTCTAAATTGAATGCAGGGTTGATTATCTTTCTATGCATGCTCCACTTTTCTCCCTCGTGGCTTACAAGACCAGGAGCTAGTAACCTCACTTGCGGATTCAAATTAGGCTTTCTGAAGTCATAAATCTTGTTGAGTACCTCTCTGATTAGCTCAGGATCTGTGAGGGTCACCCTTGGTGTTGGTCCAAACCAGATAAAAGAGTTTTTTCCTACCATCAACGACAATAAGAATAAGGCCAAGTTAAATATATGAAAAAGAATGAAAATTTTCAATGATTGAAGAAAGGGTAACTTTGAGTGTGTGCCTTTCGAATTTAAGATGAATTACAAACCACGGTGATCTTTTGGGTACACTACACATCACTGTTTTTATTTTTCAGAGATCATTGCAAATTTTAAAAATACCCAAGTGAATCATCGCATCAAAATGTTTTTGGCTAAGAATATGAACAAAAACCCACTTACTTTAATACAACCTAAACTTATTTTACTTAATAATTTATATTATACATCAAATTTTAACAATTTAACTATTAAATTAAAAAAATTTAATGTATAAATTAAGTCTGTAAATTTTTAAAAAAATTAAAAATTATTTAATATTTTGTTTCATTAATTCAAATTAACAGATATTTAAAAATATTTTATAGGTGGATTTGAACTTATATAACAAAGTATCAAATAATTTTCATTTTTTTTAAATTTGTAAACTTGATTTATGCATTAAGAACTTTTAATTCAATGGTTAAATTATTAAAATTCGATATAAAATATGAGTTATTGAGTGAAGTAATTAGATCCTAGATGAATTCACTTACTCTACTCAATAACTAATATCTTACATTAAATTTTAACGATCTAATCATTAAGTTAAAAATTCTTAATACATATAACAAGTTTGCAAATTTTTTTATAAATTTGAAAATTATTTGATACTCTATTTTATTAATTTAAATTGAAGGAAAATCATAAAATAATTTTATCCGACAATTTGAATTCATATAACGAAGTATTAAATAATTTTTAAATTTTTTAAAAATTTTTAAATTTGATTTATGTATTAAGAACACACACATATACATAGAGAAGGAAGAAATCCACTTATTTGAAGAGTAATTTTACTTAAATTTACTATACTCAATAATTCATGGTTTATGTCAAATTTCAATGATTTTACTGAGTTGATCCCTCATCTCGGAATAAGTGAATTACTCTATCTCTCTCTCTCTCTCTCTCTCTCTATATATA